TTCCTCCCAGCTTGCTGGTGTGACAACACCATCGGGACCTTGTTCCTGGGCATGGAAATATATTTCCTTTAGTAACAACTCTCTCTCTCTCTCTCTCTCTCTCTCTCTGTCTCTCTCTGTCTCTTTCTCTCTCTTTCTCTCTGTCTGTCTGTCTCTCTCTCTCTCTCTCTCTCTCTCTATCTCTCACTCTCTCTCTCTTTATCACTCTCTCTCTCTCTCTCACTCACTCACTCACTCTCATACACACACATCTATCACCCACATAATTCCTAACTTGTAATGCCTTCGTTCTCTTGCATGCAAACTCGTTTATTTTATCTTTTTTTATGTAATTATATAAAAAGTAAAATAAAAAATATCGCTTTATTGAAATTGTTTTCCATTTCCTTCCGCTCGTCAACTTACATGTCCTAGATTTTGTTGCCACTGATTTTAGACAAACTAGGAAATTTACCTGAAACATTTGGTGAACGATGACGTGATTTGAACATACACAAAAACTGCAGCAGTTTGGTCACCACGACGTGAATTCAATATGCACATACCGTAACAATTGGTGAGCACGACGCAATTTGAAACATGCATAGACTGCAACCCCCGTCTTTTGAACAAGAGTAGAGTTTTATCCCTTTTTCTCCTATTTAGGATTGGGTTTCCGGTTCCTTCTAAAATCTCGTTATTCACTTCCAATAACTTCTTACGTCTTACTGTCATTATCGCCTTGGTTGGGGCGAATTGAACAACACTCGAAGCAAAGTTTGGCTCTTTGTTATTCCTCTTTCTCTCGGCTCTGCCATCAATTCACTTGAACTTATTAAGTAGGCTCCTCGCTGTTTATTTATGCCCCCACTTCCTCCAGTATGTCTAGTGAGTATTAAATTTTCCAGGCCCATTTTCCTCATAAAATGTCCTAGAAATTTCAATTTTCTCTTTCTGATTGTATGTGTCTATCTAGTTTCTTTTTACTTAGAACTTCCTCGTTGCTTACATTTTCTGAGTATAATATTCTCAGTATCCTTCTGTAGAACCACATCTTTATTGCTTCAGATTCTCTTTTTTATCTGTTGTGGATTCCGGGGATGGAATCCGACACAAATAAATAAACACGCCAGTAACTGAAAGAATACAAAGTTGAAATGAAGATTAGTAGTCCAGGAAGGCGGGTTAGTAGAAAAGTATATGTACAAGTCTCTGTAAGTGAAGCCGTAATTATGTCTCTTTCCGGATAACTCTGAGTCCTGAGGATTTTCCGGACTCTGGTCAACACTTACTATCTTATACCTAGCTAATCCGACTCACGACCCATTCATACATTCTGGTGGAAACAAACCCAATCCATAAAAAATTTGATGATACATAAATGATATACCTTTTCAATAATAAATAAAAATAAACACAAAATACAAACTAAACATAACACCGTAGTCCAACCTCAAAAACAGTATACTTTGCCCAGGGGAATCAAGTCCAATTTTGTGCCGGAATGGGAAAATGTAAAGCTGACCCAGTCGAGATAAAAGGGGGGCCAAAACAAATTCTGGGAGGTTGGGAATCTCTGTATTCGACCATAACCAAAGATATACAGGCCAGGAACAACATTTACTCACATTAACTAGGTGAAGCTTGTCTAACCTAACCAAGGGAGGGTTCCACAGAAGCCACCCCGATTTCTTTTGTTTGTCGAATGCAAAAAATTTCTTGAGCTGATGCTCAAAGAATGATTAGATGCTGATAAGAAAAGTAAACATTCGCGTCGTCCAAATCACCATTCGAGCCGTGGCCATTTTTTCGTCCCGAATACGGGGACGATTGTAAAATGGACACAAGCTGAACTGGGGAGCGAGACGACTCGCCGACAATAAGGGGCGGTGGGGTGTAGAAGGCGTGCGCATCTAAGCCAAGACCACACCGTTCACAGTCTGGCAAATCCGCCAAACCCCATATGAAATAATCTCCGAGCCAATCGCCAGGTAAGAAAACTCAGGGTTACTGAGGTTCGCTCAACCTGAGTGAACACCCTGTGTCGACCTTTTTTCGTCACGTTTTCACCGTAGTTGACTTTGGACAAGTCCATTTTTTACAAGGGCGAGTCAATTCTATAAGCAAATTCTCCTGTATTCGCTGCCAGATATATGAATTCGCTGTTGAGCACCATTTTCTTTTGTTTTCAATAAAAAATTTCCTACTTAATAAAGTAAACAAACTACTCTTTCGTCATATAGACGAGTAAAATCTACGCTACTGAAGTGGTGTATCTTGTACGACATAATCTGTACATGAGATAGGTTCGTCGCCAGGGTGTTTTGAGTTGAGGCGTCCTTTAAGTCAATTGGATCACGAGTAAGAATTTGTACACTAAAGTTATTTTACATCATTTTCACAGGGAGGGCCAAATTATTTTCTTTGTGGGTGGCAGGCGTCACCACGCCACCCGCTGGTAACTGGCATGGCTTAAGAAAATCAAAATTTTAATTTTGGTGCCATGTTTAGAAAAGGTCTTTATCACTAACTCAGCCAGATTTTTTAACGACTTAACATCAAGGCTTCTGCTGTTAGAAATGGTTATAAATTACTTATCTTGCAGCTTTCCATGTCTGATACAAAGACTTTATCCATTACTCCACCGTGCCTCCAGCCGATATCTATAACTCCACCATGCCTCCAGCCGATATCTATAACTCCACCGTGCCTCCAGCCGCTATTCATTACTCCAATCTATCTTTCAACACCGAAGAATAAGACAAAGGAACAACCATAGAATACATAAATAGAATATTGCTACACACAAACATTAAAATCTGAATAAATCCAAATGTAATACAAATATGTATATACCATTTTGCCTGCTTGTGAGCTAAGAGGGTGGTCTATTCCTTAATGTCCATTTAGTTCTTGTGCCTGACAATCTTAATTGGTAGAGAGAGAATCCCAGCCTCCCATCACCACCACCAAATTGTTACTTATCCTTGAAGATATGGAAGTGACAGTAATGCTTTATGGGAATTCACGAATAAACAGATGACGCCTTGGGGCAGTTGTCATTGTAAAGAGCCAATAACTCTATATCTGCAGCTACAGAATCTTTTAACTTCAGTAAGATTGTTATCGAGTTCTCTATGGGTTTAAGTTGGATTTATAAAACAAAATAAACACAGAACACTTCAATATAATATTCATAAATGCAAATCTTCTAGATTATTCATACAACGTTTTCTATAAATTCATATGCTATTTATTGTTTTAGGATAAAATCTTCATAATTGAAAAGTATGATTTATGTTCCGCAAAGCTTATAACAAAATAGTTTTAAGAGTTAATCGAAAAGGTGAATAAATGAAAAAGTTCATAGAAAGATATAAATTTTCTAACACATGATTTAGTTTTTGCCGTTGTTGCTATCATTAGTGGGTCTCCAACTGATCTAAAAGGAGCAATAAAACGGAATAGACAATCTACCATTATTGAGTGCTGATGTCTTGGATAGATTCGGACTGCTATTCCTGGGTCGACTGATGTATTGTGAATTCTAGCTGGAATATCTGGAATGGGACACTGACTATTGAAAAAATATATTTTTATAATACTTAGGAGGCTCGTAAATTAGGTTTCGTTTGAATTTACTTTTGAAATTATTTTTCATATCCCGTGATATACTCTCTACTACGTCCGTGCAAATTTCTACTTTTAGTAGCTTCTAATTGAGTTTACCGAATTCGTTAGATAGCCTTCTTCTACATCGAACCAATAACTAAAATTTTTAACTATATTGAGCATTCTGTTTTTCTTGTAGTGATAAACAAAATATTGAAAAAATGTGTAAAAGTTTCAGATAGAGTATATTTCTAAAAAGACAAAAGAAAAATTTACCTTAACCAAGGCGTTTCGTCCTCTTAGGGACTTTATCAAGGCAAATAATAAAGTCCCTCAGAGGGTGAAAAGAGTCGGCTAAGATTTTGATTTTATTCATATAAAATATTAATCTATACAGACATATTGTGTCATAAGAATATATGTTTCTATGGCCTATATCTTTGGGGTTTATTTAGAAATAAAAAAACATATATTATCCTTAGTTTGCATAAGAAAACCTGAAACCCCCAGCACAAGTTATTATCAATATTTTTTACAAGTACAGATAAACTGAAATTGATAGGATGTATTTCTCATATAAATTCATCATGAACATTTTATTAATATCGGCTGGTTAATATCGATTTTATTGTGAAAACATTGACTTGCATGAAAAAACTTGACTTAGTGTTATCATGTAGGATAATTTTTACAAGAGACACAATGCTGAAGCTTCCCTTTAGAATCGAAATCGTTGCTTTTATTTGCGTTTTCACACAAGTAAATTGGTTACCGTCCAAATCAATGTGCAGACCGTAGATAATCCGGGGTTTAAAACATTCTTAGATAGATAGATAGATAGATAGATAGATAGATAGTGTTATGGTCCAGGTTAGGACCAAGGAAGAACAACACGAGACAAGATAGAAATAACGAAGTTATATTACACGAAATAATAATACAAGATAGATGACTGATCGTCTGGTTTGGAGTGAACTTATCGGCTGGATTCAGTATCTAGCCACCCCCACGAGGGTTGCATGGACCAAGGAAGAACAACACGAACACAAGAGTAGAAAATAACGAAGGTATATTATCGAAATAATAAACAAGATGTGGAAGGTGTTAGTATGAACGAGATCGTCTGGTTTGACCGTAAAGTCGAGAAGCTCGGCTCGATTCAGTATCTCAGCCACCCCCCACGAGGGTTGCTAGGTCATTTTATCGTGGGCTGAGCCTTGAAAGGCTCAAAATTCCCGTATGACTCTCTCTTGAACCTCGTCCGTTCCTTTGCTCAAAAGCAGAGAGTTCGATAAAAGTCGAGCGTATTCAGTATCTAGCCAACGAGGGTTGCATGCGACACAAGGTCATTTTTATCAGGGTTTCCCGGCCCGTAGGCTCAGCCAAAAATATGCCCGTATGACTACAGGTCATTCACCCCGAACGAGTGTTAGTCGGAAGCTCGGCTCGAGTTTAGCCACCCCCCACGAGGGTTTTCGGTTTTTTATCGGGGTTTTAGCCCGTAGGCTCAGCCAAAAATAGGACGTATAATAAAAACGAGATAGGTAATGAACGAGATAGAGTTCGAGATCGAGAAGCTCGGCTCGATTCGTCCCCTCTCTTGAGATAGTATACATAGTGTTAGGGAAGAGTTTATTTTGTAGTTATAGGTAAGGACCCATGATAATAGAAATAGATAGATAGATAGATAGATAGATGAAACCTAGATAGATAGATAGATATAGCGATAATAAATGTCATGAAATCTAGACGGAAATTATTATTTCCTAATTGCTCCTTTGCTTCCTTAGACGGGAGAAAAGGAGAGAGATCCATGTGTAAATTCAATAGTGGGTCTATATTTACTCATCTTAGATAAAAGGAAGAGGTGAGAATATGAATAATTCTCTTGTACCAAACTCTGTTCTGCTACCGTCCCTTGAAAATCAACGTTAAATTTTGCTTGACTTCCAACATGAACCATCGCCACCAATAATAGAAAAATATCACTTACTAATAGAGTGAATTATAGAATAAATTAATCTGAACACATTCAGTTTTATTCTCTGTACTGACTCAAGGATACTAAAGAAAGATTTCTTTCTCAATATTCTTGTTGGGATCAAGCCAGTTCTTATAAAATCCGTGAAACTCCCGGGGGTAAATGTATCTACTCTCTATTCAGTATATCTATAAATTGTTTTGAATTGCAATACTGTGCGATGTCAACACCGGTCTCTGTTGAGCTCAACTAACTAGTTCTCATTTCTTCGTTGTGTCTAATCTCAGTTTTTTTTTTTCACGACATTCGCCCTTCCAATCCATTTACTTTTCCTCCCGTCTCTTTTTAATTTTGTTCTTTCCTCTACCTCTCTAACAGAACCACTTCCGCCTGTATCACTCGACAGGTTAAGTTACTAAACTCTGCTTTGCCCCTATATTACCCTCCCCTGTCACTCTAAACGGGTGAGAAATGGACAAGACTGCTCTAAGATGGCCGCGAAAACGTTATCTAGCAGGGCTATGGTACCAGCAAGGCGGCAGCGGTGAAGTGGGCCAAGATGAGGAAGGTGACGGCCAGGGAATGAGGTCGACGGAACTGTGTATCTATGATTATGACAAACTAGTCCGATTCTTCTGTTTCTTCTTTAGTAAGATTGTTATCGAGTTCTGGTACTGAAGAACGATTTTTACTTGCGGTTTCGTTTAATAGAAATAGGAATATTTTATCTTCTCTTCCGCATTTGTCTCTCTTTTCTCTGCTTTAAAAAAAAAAGATTCCTTGCTTCTTAAAATTCTGTTCTTTAATAAAAAAAATAAAAAATAAAAAAAGTCATATGGGTTCTGAGTGTAGAGGTTGATAATACAGGTAAGGATCAGAAATAAGAACAAAAATAAAACAATCTTACCGAAAGTATAGAAAGGATGTCGATAAAATCAAGAATGGGGAAAATTAGAAAAAGTAGAGCTACCAAAGCAAGAAAATAAGAATATAAAATAGCAAATGATTCCATCGAATAGAAAGAAATGGTGCATTTTGCAAAAAGAAAGAAAGGAAGAAGGAAAAAATGTAAGAAATGAAGGCGGAATAGAAAGAAAGAAAGAAAGAAAGAAAGAAAGAAAGAAAGAAAGGGAGGAGGAAAACTGGATAAAAGAAGGAGGAAAAAAAAGAAAGAAAGAAAGAAAGGAGGAAAAATGAAAGAAAGAATGAAAGAAGAAACAATTTTATAAAGGAAGGAAAATATTAAGAAAGAAAGAATTGAAAATATTACAAAGAAAATCGAAAAATAAAAACAACGAAGCAGAAACAAAGAGAGAATTTTTTACGGCGAATTTCACCCTGTAAAAAGCCCAGGGAACATTCAAGGTTGATCGTTTCTAGACGTGAACAGGTTAGGACTTTAGTGAACGTGAAAGCAACCTCTTAGGAGTCGGTTCAACAGAAGAGTGGTTCGCTGGAAGAATATGCTCGAATGGAACTTACTTCTCACCAATAAAACACGGAGGGAATGCAAGTAGTTTGCCATAATGTGGCATGGCGGGTCCTAGCCGCAGAGGGTAGAACTAGCCGAATCAAGTAATTCAGTTCGTCCGAGCACTTTTCATGGGAAAGCAAGGATAGAGCGGGGAGAGGCTTGCCACATTCTGTCTGTGAGAGAGGGGTTGCTGGGTGACAAATAATTTGTCACCCACAAGGATGCGGAGACGCATTTAGGCTCTTTACAAAGTGAAGACTGAGCAGTTGCTGCCCAAGTATGACAACAGTACTCAATTTTCTGACTTTTCTAAAGACTGAGGATAACACGAGGATTCAGATACTTTAAAACTTCAAGAAAATACTGCGAAGAAAGAAAGAAAGAAAGAAAGAAAGAAAGAAAGAAGAAAGAAATGCGAGAGATTAGATAACTCACCCAAATTAATACTAACAAAAAAATAAATAAAAGAAAAGTAATTTTTCTAGGTCCTGCCGTAGCGCGATCGTTAGCTCTACCGCGGCACGATCATTATACAGATTGATTTGCTAGAGTACTGCGTTCTATCTTGACTAATGGCTCCTTAAATGTTACCTTTTGCAAAACTAAGCTCAACTTTGGTGCAGTGGTCCTCAACCGTTTTTCCCAATGCACACTTTTCATAATAAATCAAAATATCATCCCACCACCTTTCCAAGACTGTCCGACTCGAAAGGTACATTCAAAATAATTTGTATATATTATTGAAAATGTTCATTCTTTTCCATATTAGTACATCTACATTTACAGGAATTATTTTTATAGAAAACTTTTACAAAGTTAACAACAATAGAAAAAAAAAATTTGATCGTTTTTTTAAACTTGGATACATGTACATGTTTTAATTCATAATGAATTATTTGGTCACTTCGACGGGGTTTAATGCTGTTGCAGACTCCTGCTCAGGCACATCTATGTTTGTTCAACACTTACTTAATGCTAAATCAAGGAAACTTCGACGTGATGTAATGGTTAACAAGCTCGTCTCATTAGATGAATTACGACTGAATAATGAGTTCGATCCACACTGGGTGCTCTTTGTGTTACATCTAAGCTACGCTTAGAAAATCATCATAACTAATTATTAAATAAATAAAACTGGACCCTACCTCAATAAACAAAAAGTTCAATAGAATGTCAGGGTATTGTAATTCTGTAAATAAAAAGTAAGAAAAAGTTAAAGGTTTTCCCACTCTAATGAAAACTTGAAAATTCCCCGTTTTGCGGGGTTCCACCCACCCTAATTTGAAAACCCTGTTGTAGTGAGTTCTCTGCATTTTACTCACGCGAAAAATGAAGTCAAGTTTAGTAAGTATGAATGATAATTGTAGTTCTTTATACGTAAAATCTTTACTAAGTTCACTGCCATGAAAAAGTTAATTTGTTAAATTAAAAAATTAATTTGTTTTATCATTTCAGGTTCATTAGCCTTTCCAGTATGCCAGTTTTCATTCAGGCACATTTGTATATAATGGTCTTGTTTGCCTAGTACACACGTCTTCTAGCGCAGCTAACCAATCCCTGTTGCAGACTCCTGCTCAGGCACATCTATGTTTGTTCAACACTCACCAGCGCCCACCTGTGGTTTATCTAGGACCTTAGTTATAGTTTCTGGGTGAGAGCGCATAATCATCATCAGTAGTTCGAACAACGCCAGTGCGATCAAACCCTCGGTCATGATGACTTGTGATTTCGTGCTAGGACAACCATCGACGGCTTCCGAACAATTCCGTCTAACCAATTTCACTCACAAGTAAACCCGCTGTTTTGTTTTTCAGGTAATTTCCAAAAGCTCCGCACGCTGGTATCGTCTCTTCAGACCGATGCCATAAAAGCGACCATGTTGAGATTTGAAACCGGGTGAGTATATTCGCATGCATACTCACATGTATGCACTCACATATACTTGCATGAAAACATGTGGCGCTATTAAAGTCCTCCGAGAATTTAAATATTCACACCCACTTGACATCAGAAATATTTTTAAAAATAACATCATAATTTTTTTTATTTTTTTATTTAAGAAAAATCAACATCATATTCAAGTGACTCCAAATACATACAAAATTATAAATTAATTAAAGCATCATATTTAAAAATTTACTAAGAGCTACAAAGAACAGGACATTGTAGAGAGCCATGACCCTGAAGGGACACGGCACATAGAAGGTCATATTTAAAATTGAGATGCAAAATAATCGTATGATTTGATTTATTGGCAATGATTGAAGCTTGAAATATTAAATAAACTGACATAAATTAATAGTTCCTTCATAATTTCAATTTTGTTATACGAGAATTAATCCGTCAATTAATATATTTTGAAATACAGGATGCAATGGCTAAATTGTCGCCATTGTATATTTTTAATTTCGCGCATGCGCGTTGTTTGTTTTCGATCTTGTCGACTACACAGTATAGTAGAGTCAGTTGGGTACCGTCTGAGAGAAAAAGAGCACCATGACGCAATTCACTCCGCCAGAAATTTGGAAACGGCATATTGTACTGCTTGGCATTCGCATCGGAACCTGCAATGCGAATATTTCAGAGTGTTTAGGTGCCAATATGAGGACAATGCAGAGGATTCGGAAAGAGTTGGATGAGTCTAATTCTGATTTCGAAGGTACGGAAGCTCGGAAAAGTTACTCTGATCGTTCTGATAAGAAAAAACTTCCGAATGTGTTGGTGAGGGCCTCAAACTCAACACGGAGGCCTACATCAAGTGCCTCGAGGAGGTAGTGCTGCCCTGGGTCAAGAGGGTGGCTGCTGGAAGAACCTATGTCTGGCAACAGGAATTTGCACCATGCCGCACAAGCATTTATGGCTGTCAGACAATTTTTATGACCACATGACACCTTACACTGAAGTTATCGGCGACAGTCTGTTACATCACAGAACACAATATTCAGGTCACACAT